TCATTTCCGTGTGTGGGGTTATGTTGAATACATATGAGACGTTACTATATGGTAAATTAACAACCAATTGTATCTGTGACTAAAAGTGGTGATTTTGACCATGTCTTACGCTTTGTTTCTCTCCTGACTTCTCAATAGTTTGTCCACTGCTTTACCATAACAAAAAAAATTATCTGCAGAGATAATCTCTGCAGATAAGAGATAATCTGCATTAAAGAGAAGGTATAGAAGGTGTAGAGAAGGTCTTGGGAAGCTAAAAAGGCCCTACAAGGCAGTTTCAAGCCTACAAGCCGCGATGGACTTTGTCAGCCACATAGAAAGGGCATGAAATGTCTAAATGTGTGACTGACTTTATATACATCTGTGTGGATGAGACTATCCCCAACAGAACAGTGAGATACTTCCTCAAATAACAAACCCAGGCTCACGAGCGATCTGAAGGAACTTCTAAGGAATGAGAAAAGAGCCTTTAGGAAAGGAGACAGGGAATTTTTGAGGAGTATACAGAAGCAGCTTTTGGTCAGATTAAGAGAAAGCAAGGAGGCGTACGGTGAGAAACTGGATACGTAGCTCCAAGTGAACAATATTAGAGATGTGTTTTCAGGGATGAAGAAGAACACAGGCTTAAAGCTGAAGAAGGTTCAGACAGTTGAAAGTCTGGACAGAGCCAATTAAATGAACATATCCTACACTAGGTTCAGGAACAAGTTCAGCATCTTTCCCTTCTAATGGACAACAATAGATGCATAACTTCTTTAACCTTAGCCTGACCCATGAGACTGTTCCACTTCCTGCCTTGTTCCAGTATAAAAAAAACTCATTCAACAGTCCTCAATAACTATTGAGCTGTTGCCCTGACATCTCACACCATGAAGGTCCTACTGTAGAGAGACTTCTGTTGGTTCACGTCAGCAAACAAAGAAGTAGCTATCAAGACCCCTGTATTTTACCCTGTCATTTAGACAAGACAGACATCATTGTGAGGATTTCTCTACTGCATTGAATGCAATTCATTCTGATTGTTCATTGTCAGAACCTCCAGAAAACTCAAGTGGAGACATCAACAATTACCTGGATCAAAAAGCTACCTGACAGACTATAGTTTGTGATACTGAAGGGTCAACTGTCTAATCAGGTAGTCAGCAGCAAAGGAGCACCACAGGGAATGGTACTCTCACCATTCCTTTTTGAGGGCTGTTTATACTCCTGCAGCAGTGTGTCACTGTGAACCTGACTCAGACATTTTTGATTTATGCTCAGTATTGAAGTGTGGTCTGTGCTATATGCTGTGGGTCTAGATATGGTCGAGGCGATAAGGAAGTGGGGGCGGGTTTAGTCCTATAACGAAGGGACATGACAGTCAAAAAGAGCGGGGGATCCAAGTGGAAAAAGGATCCCAGCGTTCTCGTGCACCTCGATCTTCTAGCTTGTCTAACTTCACGAGTAATTTTACACAAATTTGGTCATAATAACTAAACAAGCCAGCCTCCTGTCGGTGGCACTGTCTGCGGTCAGTTACAATTTGGGAGAGGTGCAGCGGAGTGTCTCATGGGAGCGGGGACGTCTTTTTGTTCACTGTGACACCTACGCACAGGACCTGGTTTCGAAGTATAAATCAGCCTTTAGTCTCTACATGTCTGACTTTCAGTACAAGACACAGTCCTGTCATCTGCAGAAATACTCAGATGACTCTGCAGTCATTGGGTGTATCAACGATGGACAAGAAGCTGAGCACAGGGAGCTGGTGCACTGCTTGGTGGCCTTGGTGTGGAAACAATCAAATGTTATTACCATAATTGGAGAAGAAGTGAAGGTGGTGGAGGAGTATAAACAACTTGATGTTCTCCTGGATAACAAACTTAGGTCATTCATTGTTTACATTAAGATGCTGCATATCTTCTATAAGGGGGTGAAGGATGTGATCTCTCTCGCCATCATCTGCTGGTGTAACAGCATCAGAGCAAATTACTTTTTTAAAAAAAAGTTTTCATAAAATAAAGAACATAATGGACCCTGAACACCCTATTTAGAAAACTGTTAACAAAAATTGAATCTCTTCAGCCAAAGACTTCTTCAGATCTGGTGCAAGACAAAGCACCACAGAATATTTACAAAAAACTCACTGAAATGAGTTGCAGCAACATCTAACTTCCCTTTGTGATCAAAATATATATATATTTTTTATTGAATTGAATTGAAATCTAGCAAAGTGTGAGCAATCAAGACCGTTTTTCTCTACAGTCTGTCCCAACTACCAAGTTATAGCCCAGAAACTAATATTTTGAACATCAAAAACAGTGACTGACTAGAACATTGTTGAGCTTTGCGGGAAAATTTCTCCAAACACCTCACCTAGTTAACAACAGAAAGTTGGTATCTGACTCTATCTAGTTTTTCTGTTTATTGCTTAAAAACAAAAACACATTTACGGTATTAGCCACACTTTAATTAAAATGATGATTTGATACTTGTAAAATGATTTTTAGCTTGTTGGTACACTGTTTAAGGTAGCACATGATTTTCAGCTATTTTAGGGCTGTTGTTTCACTTATTTAAAAAGACAATTTAAAACACAGAGCACTTTCCTACATTGCTTTTAAGCGTGCAAATCAGGTTCACACTCCAGCGAGTTTATAAACCTAAGAATATAGCCAATTATAAGGAAATGTTTTAAATCAAAACACTTTTGTGTTAGAATAGCCCAGTGAAAGGCCAGACTTTTGTCACTCTGGGAATGCGCATCAATTTTTGTCGACTGACGCTGTTCTTTCAATTTGTTTAAGCCTGAGGTATTTTCCAATCAATAATGGAAAAGCATTTCTGTCCCTATGTGCAAAACTGTCTGAAAAACGTGTACCACACTCTTCTAAAGAAAAATGTTCAAAACAGTGTAACATATTCTTTTCATGCCCTTTGTCAATCAGATAAAACACACTGAAGTGTGGTTTTGTAGCTTGACAAAAATGTGAAAAGGTTTAAAGTTTTGCAAACGGCCACAATCTGGTAAAACCCCCAGAAAAGCTAATTTATTAAAGGGTTTTTGACATGCTTCAGACAACTTTTGTGAATTCTAAATAAAATCTTGTGTTTTTAGACAGTGTTTGTTTAGTTTCCCATCATAACTGCAGGCAGTTTTTGTTTTCTCTGGCCAGCTGGCTCAACAAGAGAAGTTACACAGCTTGCAATGGCTGCAAAAAAAGCCTTCAAACCTTTTTTTTTTTTTTTACTAAATGAACACAAAATCCTAATTTTGTCATCCATAGTTTAGCAAAGGCTCAAATAATTTGCATTTGTGACATAACATGCTTAGAATATTATTAGAGTAGAATCCAGATGTAATTCATTTGAACTTATGAACCAATCATTGCTTATAAGGAGCTTTTAGAAAAGATAGAAGAAGAGCAAGAAAATTGCAAGACAGGATATTGTAAATGCAGTTTTTACTGTATAAGGTCAGTAATAAATAAATCTTTAACAACATTGTGTTACTACATGTACATGAGTGTCATGCTTTAGATATAAAGCCCTCTGTTATGGAGTTATTTATTTATTCCTAGCACATTAATTTCACATTCAGATTGCTTTTTCTTATGAATTTAATAAAAATACAAAAATAACTCCATATCCATAGCTTTTGTTTATTTCACTTTTTAACTACATTACATTCACCTATGTTAGTTCACCTTGTGTCTTTTATTTGTCACATCTTTACATACAAAGTTTAACATCGTGTTTAATGTTATTTCAAGGAATGGCATTAAAAGATTATTACCCATTTCAGTAATCAGTAAAAATATCTCTTTTCTTCAGAGCACTGAATTGGGTATTTTATCTGGAACAAGGTGGGGGCTCTGGTTTAAGCAGAGACACCCAGAGCTTCTTTTTCCCAGACACATCCTCCAGCACCTCTGGGGTAAACTGGAAGATTTTAAAGCCCACCCAAGAGAAATAACCCCTCTGACCTGGGCCATTCCTTGGACCATCTTCTGTTGAGACATGCCTGGAAAACTTCCCACAGGAGGCGATCAAAATACATTTAAAATTGATGCATAAGCCACGTTACCTAATTCCTTTTTAGGTGAAGGAGTAGCAGCTCTGCTCATGATTTTGGAACCGGTACAACTCAATCATAGTCTTGCTCTGCTTGTATAAAAATTGAATGGCTCAAGGTAAAGGATCTCTGACTCCGTACACCTGGAGGGTACCATAAGAGACACAGTCGAATACCAGGTCCATAATGTAATGGGCTGGCTAGGAAAAATCCAATGAATCCCCCAGCACAGGGTTGACCCTAAGGGTGTAGAGCTGCTTTCATTGTTCCACAACTAGGAGTAAAACCATACTACTACTCCTTACCCAAAGTTGGACAAGTAGGCAGGCTTTCTTCACCAGAACGTTGGTGTACAGAGTTTATCCACTCTGTAGTAGGAACACGCTCCCCGGTCCCACTGGGTCCACCACACCATCATGCCAGTCCAGGGGAACTCTGATAAATTACTGCTCAATGTTGAAGGACAGCAAAAAGCATCAGAGACCTGAAATACTAAGGGTGGGTCTCATCCTCCCCCTCAGCCGTGCCATCGTTGAGCTTTTTGACCACCTTTATGACTTCAGCTGCAGTACAAGGCAATGTCCCTAGCATCAATGTTGTCATCTTCAGGAGGACTTTTGAACAACTCATTTTCTGCCTCTAAGTCTTTTTGTCATGGGAGTACCCATGACATCAAAGGCCAAGAAAACATAGTATTTATTTGTAATTGTATTTATTCAATCACTGAAAACTACTCCACCAGGATAAATTGGTGGTCCAAGAAAGAGTGTCCACCTTTTCTTGGATTCCTTTTCATGTATTTACAGTTCAAGTTTACCATGTACCATTTTCTTATGTTCATTTTTTTTTTATCATGAGTAAAAATCTGTTTCTGTATTCCATTTTGTCTAGTGCCTCATCTTAATCATTTCCTCAACTTTCCCTGTCCCTTTCCCACATACACTGTCAGCAGGGAGAAGGGCCGTCTGGCGACAGACTCAGAGCTGGACCAGAACCTCAGTGACCGGCTGGGTCTGGGAAGCAGTGACACCTTGACCAACGGCAGCCACCGTGGAGATGTGGCAGCTGCCAAACGTCTTGCCAAGCGTCTCTTTCACTTGGATGGATTCAGGAAATCTGATGTGTCACGCCACCTCAGCAAGAAGTGAGCAACGAGGGGTTCATAATGCTCTTAAAATGTGGCCATCTGGTTTTGATAGTTCTCCAGTATTGGTGATTTATATCTGTCACACTTTTTTACTTTTTTACTTATTTCTTAGTCTAGTACATGACAACTACTTCACATTATGAGCTTTGATAACAAGTACATGTTAATAGGTTAAGTGCTTAGGATATCAATCTAGAGCAGACATCCTGGCGCAATGCCATGAAGGAATGAGAAAAAATTCTGCAAAGACTTGAGACAGAATTTCACATATTATTTATCCTTAAGATGTTTATAAATGATATGGCAGGTTTTGACTGAACAGCTCTTTAAATGGCCTAAAATCAAGTTTTCAGGTTGTCATATTGCGTTATTTAATTTGAACTATATGAAACGCTGGGACCATCTACTAACCTCTCTGAGAAATATGAATCTGGGTCATCACTGGGTCTTGCAGTATAACAATGCTCTTAAACTCATGATTAAATCAATACCGGAATCGTTATCTTCACATAAATCCAACCGTCTTCAGGGGCAACCCAAGTCCTCAGTCCTACATCCGCTTGTACATTAAAGGTATAGTTAAGGATTTTTGCTAATTTTGCAAAAAACCCACCCTCTCCACTTTTATTAAAAATGCACATGCACAACCCTGTACCCGCTCCCCAGTGGGAATGCCTATTAAACGCATGCAAGAGCATGCACAAGCCCATTTCTCCTTGTGCACGCTCTGTTTAAAAGTTGCTGTTTGCGTTGCTTATACAAGCTTATTTTCCAAAAGAAGATTTTATGTTTCCACTATGTCAGACTCACCACCGGTAAATGGAAATGAAAACAAGCATGTAGGACGGCCTTAGGTAAACGTATCACCAGAGTGATTGACAATTAGGAGGACCACTTATTTTGATGATCCACCTGGAAAAAAAAAATATCCTCCAATATACCTTTAACATGAGCCTTTTTTTCTCCCAATATAAAAAAAAAAAGAATTAAAAATTCCCGTTGATATTGTACTGCTAAACATAAGCAGAATTTATCCAAAGGCTTTTCATAGGTCTGTAACAGAGGTTCTAATAATTGTCATGTAGCTGATATTTATAACTAATTCTTTAGGAATTTGGTATTTTGTAAAAATGTAATAAAGAACTTAATAAACCTAAGTAATGGTTAAGTAAAAGGATCATATTTGTCTAGATTTTGTTGTGATATTGCAATATTTGCAGGTAATCCCAGAGCAAAAGTTCACTATAAGGAGTTAAGTTGAAAGATAAACTGCTGCAGTCACATGATCACATTCTTGGTGGATATTGGATTTCGTCTTCTCAGCTGCTGGGGCCTTTTTCATTTATGTCTTGGCCAAAATGTTTTCACTCTTTTTGCAGCTCACTTTATCACCTGGGGTCTTTTCAAGCAGAGCTGCAGTGTTACTTATAAACCAGTAGTGAAACGTGGAGCTCAGCAGGTTTCGTTAAAAAACATGACATGTTGTTCAGCAGATGTGCAAGCTGTACATACAACTTGTATTATTACACCATCTAATATTTCTAATCAAATCCGGCTGTTCTTCTGTGAGACCATAAGTGTCTGGAAGGACAGTTTTCTCTTAGTTGTTGTTGTTATTGCTTCCAATGTTTATTTGACAGACTGTTTACAACCTTAAATGTAGTTCGGGCCTAAGGGTTATTAAACATACTTTTTTGTTTTTGTATTTATCAAAGTTAGTTTTAAGTTCTATTTTTTTTAAGACTGCGATGATATTTGTTCTTCTTGTCTATTCTTTGCTTTTTATTTTGTTTTTTGATTTATGGAACATCTTTTAATTGAATTTGGATCATTAAATACTCGAAATATAAAGCTCATTTAAAACAGACATTCAAACACATATTCCAGAGCTCGGAATATGTCTCCATTAACTCAGCACATGTAGACATTTTCTATCCTTGCCGCAGATTCTTAGCTGGTTTTAGGTTTGGACTAACAAGACCATTTGTTGATCTAAATATTTCTATTGTTGCTATGGCTTTATGTTAAGACTTTGTCTTAACACAAGTCTTTTTAAGACTTTTAAATGTCTTCCCGTGTATTTATAGACATTAGTCTTTCCATGTGCTCTGCTCAGCTTCCTTGTCTCAGCTAATAAAAGGCATCCCCTTAGCATCATACCAATAACACCGTGTTTTTGTGGGGGGATGTTATGTTTATTGAATAGGTTTTCCACTTCACATTTTTATTTATTTAAGTTTCATTTTGCTCTGATCTGAGGAGAGCACCTTATTTCTCTGTTTGTTTGTTTTTTTCTTTTTGCAGATTTTTGCAGTTCTCTGTTTACAACCCCCTTTAGCTGATCTTTTAGTTTAGGTGGATGACTATATCTTGATGGGTTTGCAGAGCACTGTAAGATGTTTAAAGTTTAGGATATTGTTCTTTACCTTAACAATGCCTTAAAGTTTTCTAATATTTTTTCACCATCCTCTCTGTTTTGTTCCTTTGGTGTTCAAACCTCCGAGGCTTTCACTGAACACCTTATAAGGTGGACAATGTATAAGTATTAGGTGACTTCTGACAGAAATAGTGTGCAATGCTATTTTCTTGTGGTATCAGAGGAATGAGGAGATTTAAACAGCATACTTTTCCAATTTTATACCAGTTTTTCCATGTTCAAGTGTTTTGTTTGTGTCCTAGAGAAAAAAAATCACTTTGTTGTTCATTTCCTGAGTTTCCTTTTATTTGATACAGTGTTTAAACCAATCTTCAGAGCTCTAGTGTTCAGTCAGTCTGTCAGCTGGTTTGCTGGAACTGATGAGAAACTTATTTGGTTTAAAGTGTTTGTCTCACTTTTTGACAGATGCACCCTGGGAATCTCTTCTTTTATTATGTTTCCTTTATTCTGGCCTCCAAGTTAAAGCTGAATGATGGCACAAACAAAGACTTCTTCAGCAAAAGCAGGAAGCTTGAACTCTTTGAACGCTCAGCCTTTTTTCCTTTCCTGATCCTTTGTTCTCATGTTTGTTCTTCTGTTGTTTTTTTCTGTCCTGTCATGGTTGCCTAAAATTGTTGGCGTCATCTGTCTGTTTGTTTGCAGCAATGACTTCAGCCGTATGGTTGCAGAAGAGTATCTAAGTTTCTTCAGTTTCACCGGCCTAACTCTCGACCAAGCACTGCGGTAAGAAAGCCCATCACCTCTTTTGAATACAAACCAAAAATGCCTTTGATTAAAAATTAATGCCCACTATTAATATTTGAAATGTGATTAAAACTTCATTGTGTTCATTTTCTCATTTGAAAGTCATTTTCTATGCTTCACTATGCTTTAATCACAGATTCAGTTTTAGTAAAGCAATGACTTCTGATACTTCTGCATTTTTGTGAGCCCTTAGGAGATACTCTCCTCTGGTAAATACTGCTCTCTAGAGGGGAGTTGTGGTATTGCATTGTCATGTTTAGTTTACTGTTTTTTTGGAAAAAGTCACTACTGTAATTTCTCTAATTATTGAATATTTGCATATTAATATATGTAAGGTATATAGCATGCATTCTTCAGGCCACCCTTATACAGTTTTAATTCTTTTATAAGGGGAACTATATGTCAAGAAAATTACCTAAACTATCTGTTCAGCTGTACAAAAAAGTAAACACTAATGCATATATCTGTATTACATGCCGATGCTCGTAAGGATTCAAACGAGGTCACATTTGAATGCACAACTAGTTTTTTGTTTGTTAACCATCTGGCAAATGAATTGTGTTTGTGCTGCAGGACTTTCCTCAGGCAGTTTGCTCTGATGGGAGAGACTCAGGAGAGGGAGAGGGTGCTGTCTCACTTTTCCAGGCGCTACTTGGAGTGCAACCCAAAAGCCCTGCCATCTGAGGGTGAGGGCTGGGGGGAATACTCTCAGAGAGTCTTGAAGGATAAACTTTAATGTTGTTTTTTTTTTTGTTTTGCAGAAAATGCAGAAGGCTATTGTTGTTTTATAAAACTGCATACTAAATAATTATCTATCTATCTATCTATCTATCTATCTATCTATCTATCTATCTATCTATCTATCTATCTATCTATCTATCTATCTATCTATCTATCTCATACACACTTAAACAAAATTATAAACACTCCTTTTCCCCATTTAGTGACATTACAACCGCAGACTTCAGAGCACTTTAAACACATATTAAATGAAACACTGTAGATGTTGTTGTTGCTCCAATTTTACATGAGCTCAGCTCAAAAATCTAAGACTTTGAAGCCAGCGTTATAACACAGTCTGAAGTAAGCGGTGAAACTTTGATGCTGACTAAGTAACTTCTAATTGTAAACTCCAGCTAACCTCTCATATTCACCATGGAGGTTGACTCAAACTTTCTTTGATTTTCATCTGAGCTACAGTTTATTTTAAATAACCTGGCAGTGGTAGAAAGTATATACAGTAGTTCAATCTCAATCATGATTTGGAAATATCTGGTACTTTACTTCAGCTTAAAAGAACATTCTTAACCGTAAATTAGTTAAACATGAGATCATCATATTATGTCTCATTGTTGCCCCTGGTTCTACATGTGTAAAAATCTCAATGAGGCTGTTAAGTCTGGGGTTGTTTTGTAGAAGACAAAAATAAAAGAAAACTCTTGCAAGGCTCGGTTTAGGCAAGTGTAAGTCTGTTTTTTCTTCTTCTGTTTTTTTGTTCTGTTCTGTTTATTTTCTTCTTTTCTGTTTTTTAATCATTCTAAATTTATGCATTTTTTGTAGCAATTTTTACTATTTTATTCATTTTAAACACAATAGATCATTTTTGTTCCAGGTCAGTTTCCTATTATCTTTATCCTCTTTGTTTTATATGGTTTTAGGTTTGATGCATCTACATTAAAAATATGTTCATTGCCAGGCCTATGCAAAATTTAACAATATGCTTAGAAACTAACTTTTGAAGCCTCTGTGTACAGAGGGTGCAGATCTGAAGCATGCAGGCTGGCCTTTGAGGATTGAAGTCAGACACCCCTGCAAAAAACATGTCAGATAGTCAAGAAAACTATTTTTCTATCCTGCAGATGCAGCTCATACCCTCACCTGTGCTCTGATGCTGCTGAACACAGATCTATATGGTCAGGTAGGTACCATTGAAGTTTGTGAATTAAAGCATTGATGTGATTTGAAATGTGATATTAGCTCACTGGAATGAAAGAGTCTTGCTTTAAACATAGAAGATTTACATTAGCTGTGACATTTCTCAGATACAAAATCACCACACAATCCTGATCTGAAGGTTTTTTACACTCGAGCCTCTTTCTCTGTTAATAATCTTTTCATTTTACAGTCGCAGCCTTCTTTTTAAAATCTGGGTCATTGGCAGCTCTGCTTGGTGAGGGCGCAGCGCCGTGGAAGAATGATTAATTAAAGAGATGGGAATGGGGATCAGCTCTAACAGAAAGTTTCTGCACATTTATACAGTTTTAATTTTGACCTAAGTACACAGAGAGACTGGTATGCGATGCAGGCCGTGACTGTGCAAACGTGATGAGAGCAGATTATTCACGTATGATAGATCAGCTGTATCAGACAACTGCAGAAAATTATTGTCAACACAGCTTGTATAGCACAGTTAAAATGATCACAACATAATAGTTTCAGTGAAGTTCTACAGACACCATCATGGCCAAACTATTCTGAAGTATCTTACATTTTTTTTTGTTGCAGTGTTTCTTGTTTTTGGGATTTGCTAAGAAAAATATAGCTCATATAATTTCAAGTGTCATTTTGTTTCCAAGGTGTGAAACTTTGGCACATTTCATCAAAACCCTGCTGCAAATTCTTAACAGTGTGCAGAAGTATGGGGAGTCCGCACTGGAAAAATTATCTAGAAATAAGTAAAAATGTCTTAAATTAAGTGTATTTCCACTCAATTTGAGTAGGTAAATGAGATAGTTTGCCAATGGAATGAGTATTTTTACTCTGATAAATATTAGATAATACGCACTTGAAATTAAACAATTCTATTCTGTTTTCTTATTCTAAGTGTAAATTGCCTTGTTCCATTGGCAAGATGTCTCTTTTACTACCTTAATCCAAGGGCAAATGCACTTATTTTAAGAAAAAAATGACTCGTCTAGATTTTGATTTTTTCCAGTGCGTCCGTCCGTCCATCCATCCATCCATCCATCCATCCATCCATCCATCCATCCATCCATCTTTTTGTCAAATTGAATATAAAACAGGAGCATGGAGCAGTATAAGAGCCCTCTCCCCTGATGGATGGTCTGAGTTGAACCAATTGCAAGTGAAAACTGTATTAATATGTCAAACATCTATATACTGTATGCAAATTCTAAAAAGCAGAGTTTGCATTGAAAACAAACTCAACAGGAGATAAAAGAAGGGCTTGAATATTAATACAGTAAATAATAACTTTAAAATCATCATTCAGTGTTTTGGAGAAAAGCTATTTTAGGAATGTAGGTGTATTTCATTGGTCACAATAACTTATTTAGACTTCAATATTCTGGTTAAATGTATTTTGTTTGATTAAATAACAAGCTTGAATACCTATAATGCCACATATAAGGAGATTAAATTTTAAATAAATTTGGGAAAAAAGCTCTCAGTAAAGTCAGAAGTGTTACTCAGAAGAATTTCTATTACACCCTTCACTTAAAATATAAGCAAAGAGACTCTAAGATGTCCATGATGAGTAAAGAGCATTTAGATTTATTTATTTTAGGTAATTCATAAGTTCCCTCTGTTTTAACTAGATTCTTTTATATATAATATTCCCTACAAAGACAAATAACCAGACAGATAACCACTTTGACAAGAGGTGTACCAGCAATAATTAAGTCTAATGTGTGTTAATTTTTTTTGTTAATTCTGTAGCCTTGTTATCTGGCAAAAGTCTCAACTCCCTGCTAAAACTAAATTAAATGTGTTAAAGTTTTAATCCTGTTTAAAAGTTATTTACTACGGGCGTGTAGGTGGCACAGTGGTTTGCATGCATGACCCATGAACGGAGGCCTAAGTCCTCGATGCGGCCGACCCGGGTTCCAATCCGGCCTGTGGTCCTTTGCCGCATGTCTCTACCCCTCTCTCATACCCCTTTCCTGTCAGCCTACTGTCGAAAAAATGAGCCACTAGGGCCGTAAAAAAAAAACAAAAAAAAAGGTTATTTACTATAACAAGAAGTGTTATTTAAAGAGTGTTTCCTCCAGGCGAAAGGACTCTGAATAAGCCCTCAGGAGTAAGTTATTTCAGGTTTATACCTAAAATAGACTGTGTAGTAGCATATGTTGGAAAAATATAATCAGGTATTTCTTTTACATTGGAATTAATTTTTAAATCTATTTTTTCCCCAGAATATTGGCAAGAGAATGTCGTGCACGCAGTTTATTAGCAACCTGGAAGGACTGAATGATGGCCAAGATTTTCCCAAAGATCTGCTCAAAGTAAGTCCTTTTTATAGTCTGAAAAAGTCAGCACATGTGTTGGCATACAGGACTGACAGCAGGGTGGCTGTGTGTGCCAGCAGTGTATTGTTCCTCAGATCTGTGCGGCTGTCTGGCTGTTTGGTCTACGCTTGCTGCCAGCTGGCATCTACAACCTCTCCAGAGGCTACCAATCAGAGGCCTGCCTGGGCTCGCCATTTCCTGGTTTCGGCTACAGAAGATTAATTGCAGTTTGACCTAAAGTCCGGAGTTGTCAAATAAAATCAGCCACGGGGATATCTGAGAAAGACTTTTGCAGTATTCTATAATTTTATTCTCCCCAAACCTTGTTGACCTAACCAGATTACGCCTCTGCAGACAAGGTTCTGCCGGAGGCCTTGGGTGTGCTGCGGTAATATAACCAAATCAGTTTAGTGCTCCTGATAATGATGCTGGAGATATTATCTGCAGAGTGGTCCATCAACATGCCACAGGCCCCAGAGGGCCGGCCAACAGGTTGTAATGGAGTATTTATAATGCATGAAAGAGAGAAGGAGGCCGTGTCCTTCTGCTGCCATGATGAGACTGAAATGAAAAGCCGTGTCGGTTATTAAGGGCAGATAGGAGCCGCCTTGTGGCCGCAAGCAGATCCAGATAGAGACAAAAGCAGTCCTGCATCACTTCTTTTTTTTTTGAGACTTGAATAAATCAAAGAACAGTCTTTTTAATCATCACATGCTCTTTTATTCCTGCTCAGTGAGACTCCCTTCTGCTCTATCCTCGAGCCAAACGCTTCTCCCTCTTTGTCCGACTTATACTGGCTCCTGCTGCCTTATCTGAGCTGCTTAGCTGCAGTACAGTCAAATCTGGGTCTTGCTGCCACCTTTGTCATATCATCTTAGCTTGTTCTTTCCTGGATTGTGTCACATCAGATGTCAGCATCCGCTGTTTTCCTTCCAGTTCCCTAAAAACAGCTGCTCTGTCCATGACAAGCACTATGAGGTTTGTGTTGCTCACAGGACTCTAGCTGTGCCATATAATCCTAAAGTTGTCCTTAACTGATAGATGCTGCAAAAACATAAAAGTTACCTTTTACATATAGTTATTTTCTGCATTGTGCACAAATAAAACAAGAACTAAGCCTGTATCTTCAAATGAAATGTTTAGGGTTAACTAGAAAAAAAGTAGGTTATGTTAGAATTTAACCTTTAATACCCTTCTAAATTTACCTTGTACAATAATTTCAACTTATTTGTTGTTGGAATTAACAACAATGACAAAAAAAAATCCCAATCTTTAAACTCAACATATTCCTTATTTGGAATTGTGTTTATCTTAATTGCGGAGTGTAATTTGGTGTCTAAACAGCCTTTTTTGTTTGTTCCTCTCCTCTATTCTCTGTTATCGCTTCATAATTTCCTGCTACTAAATGGCTTCCAGCCCGACCATCACCAGCATCCATGTTTCTCTCATTTCCTCAGCTCATTTTCTTACTTTCCCATTTCCCCCCTCATGCCTGGCTCTGGTGTTTCGATTTACTGTGAACACACAAGCAATAAGCCTGATCAATGTTTCTATTGTTTTACACAATGTTTCACATTCTCTGCAGCTTTTCCCCTGTCAAAAAACGCCATTTGTTTCTACTTTATGAAATATAAATACGAAAATGTCTTACATTCAAATTGTTTTATTTTTTTTTTGTGGCTTATTATATTAACCCCTGTTCATTGTAACATAATTCAACCAACGGAAAAACAAACAAACAGAAGAATAAAAGCATCTCTATAAAAAAATTAACTCTCAACGTTTCCCTTTATTTAAAGGACAGTTAAGTTTTTATAATTAATGCAATTTCATGCTGCAGTACTAGTAGAGGAATAAATTAAGCCAAAGAAGAAATGTCTCATTTTATCATATGACATCTAAAGAAAATTAAATTCTTTATAGTTGCTAGACTTTTCTCACAACTCATATTACAAGTAAGATGCAGATTTATAAATAAACAAAAAGCTTTTCTATTAGTAGGAATTAAATATGCTTTTATGCTTTGTTGTTCGCTTAAGACAATGATATATTCATACAAATATCACTTAACATATACCGCTCTGCTTGGTTTAGGTTAGACAAACATTTTCTTCCTCCCTTTGCTGTTAAATTTGGATTTTCCTGTTTTTCAGCAAATTTACAGGGTTTAGGTGATCAAGTAAGGGAGTTTAAGAAAAATAAAAAAGTCAAATTATAATAAAATCAAAAAAATTCAATTTGATAAAATTGATAAAATGCTGTTTGTTTACCCTGGAAAAATGAGTTCTAACTCAAGGTGTGAATCTGCCGTCCGGTTTAGTGCCAGTAGGGAGGATAAAGCAAATTCTGCAGCCCTGGCATCATAGACCAGCTTATGATCCTTTGCTTCTTATCTGTCATTGTTTATTTTTCCCAGAATGCAGCCATCTAAATAATTTAACAGTTCTTAAGGCTTCTTCAGTTCTAATGTGACCGATTGTTGTCAGCCAATCCAGCAGTGCAGTGTTTGTCAGTCGACTGCTTCTTACAACCACTTTGGTCTTCCCTCAAAGATACTCTTAAACACACTTCTCCTGCTTCAACAACTTTTTAAATCACTCCTAAAAGCTTATTTCTAAGATCTGAATCTGTAAACTACCTGTTTTTCTTAGATTTTTGTTTCATTTTTACATGTTTTTTTTTTTTTCAAATGTGCTTAATTCTGTACAGAACTTTCATACTGTCTTAGACTTTATTTAGTCATTTTCTTACACAAGTGTAAACAAAACGAAATTTCGTTTAGAACAGCTCTCTGTTGTTGAGCTGCTACTACTGCCTCCAGCTCCTTAAGCACTCGCTTCTCCTTGCTCAGGGGAGGAAGAGGACGATGATGACAATGCTGTGAGGGTGGTAGCCCCCTGCGTTGAAGAGGCTGACATGGTTGAAGCAGCAGTGGTGCCTTTGGCAGGTTTAGCAGCGACAGACGATGCTGGAGAAGGTGTGGAAGCTGGAGGGGGCCGGGAGGAGCCGGCTGGGGATGTTTCAGCATTTGGCAGGGAAGCATCTAGGGTGCTCTCCTCATTTTCACCTGCAGAAGGCTGTGCTTCCCTTCTCGATGCTGAAGATTGCCTGGGAACAGTCTCAGAGGAGCCTCCATTCACGCAGAGCTTTTGTTTCTATCGACGCGGAACAGCATCAGCCCCCTCCAGGCCAACAGCACCGCCCGGTACTGTAGGATGCAGCCAAGACCCCGTCAGAATGATGGCGCAGCAGTCAAAAATTTCAGTATTTAAAACATTTTGTGACTATAGCTCCAGCAGGCGTTGGCAACAGGTCACAAGGCAGTCAGAAGCTGATTTTAAGTGCTTCATAAATAAAACTGACATTGACTTTAACACATCCAAAAGGTGCTTAGTTATAGATCTGGTGGTTGTGGAGGACGGGGGAGAACCATGAACTCATTACTAATGTTCTTGCACGACTGGAAAACCGGCCCATAAAGGTCATAGCTCAGACATAGCTCAACTATACACATTTCCTTTTCTTTATCCCTCATAGCTTTATCGGCATTTAGTTGTTAATCCCAATACTACAGACCAGAATCTTTTATCTGGGAAAATGTGGATCTGGTACAATGAAATGACTTGGGTAAAACGGTGTCACAGCATGTGGAAGGCATTCTAAATCTTTGGTAAGGGCTGAAAGTCTTTGCAGCAGAGAAGGGCTATGGCCTTACTGAGCAAGCAGCATGACAGGGTTTAGCAGGACTACAGTGTTGTTTGATGTTGTGCTGATCAGAGTAAGTTTCACTAGCAATCAGCATTTGTCAACTTTTATAATTATGTTTACATGAAACTGTCTTGCAGAGGTGGGACATGTGGATCCATCAAGTCATCTCTATGCCATGTATCTGTTTTGCTAGCCACTGAACCAGGTGAGTCAAATCTGCACAGTGAATTGGACTCACCTGGTTCAGTGATTGGGCAGAACAAATACAGATGACTTGGTGGTTTCACCCCTTCCACCTCTGCTGTCCTGGCTGCTGCAGTTTTTATTGCCTGTGTCCGTTGTGCAGCACGTTGTGCTCAGTCAGCTGTCGGTGTGGGAAGGAGCTACACACTGGTGCATTCATGAAAAACTATTTGAAATTAGAAATTGTACAGTTAACCTCTTAACATCCACCTCATTTTGGGAAATTCTCGCCTATTTTGCATACTGGAAAAGCAAATAACTTAGGAACTGTAAGCCCAAATTACATGTGTGATGCATCATTTGAAAGCTGACACATTCTAGTTTCTGAATATATAGATTAAAATTGGGTAAAACATGACTCAAAGTTGTTTTTTATCCTTGAAAATAATAGGTCTTTTTTCTAACAGTAGTGACATTCTTGCTTGTTGTGGCTGCTTTGTCATGGTACATTTTGACATGCTGCTATTTCTGTGTTAATTGTGCTTTGGTGCTCCCTTTGTCCAAAAAATGAATTTGGTAGTTGAATTGTGGAGGATCTAAGCATTCCAACGATGTCTAACATGTCAATATTGGTAAACATTTTACCAGTGTAATTTTCATGCATTCAGAGTTATTATTTGTAAATGCTTTAAAATGGGTCGCCGGCGACCTGATGGATTTTGAGGTTATAGAGTAATCATACATTTTAGTGCATTTTTCCAATTCTTACCTAATTTAGTTTAATTCTACATAGATATTATGTCCATATTACTAGTCTATTTTTTATTTTTTTGTTTAAAAGAAAGGGGGGAAAACTTCAGATAAAATATTACTGAAGAAGTAATAGCATTTACATGTATTTTAACAAGATGGCATGTACATATTCCCAGATTGAATGTGACAAACTTAGTTACCTGATTTTTACCACTCAAAGCTGATATATTCTGGGTGTAACCCCACTGACCATGCACTCCTAAACCTTAATCGTTAAGCTACGTAGTGAGTAGTAAGCGACTGTTGCAGACATATAGAGAAGTGTTTTAGAATTTGAAGTTACAGATCATTTT